GTCTCCATCTCTCGCTTTTTGTTCTTTACCGTTATGAAGATCCTGTAGATTGCGATCTAATGGAAATATAGAGCGAGAGAAAAAAGCGAAAGAAAGGAGAAATTAGCACAAGGGAACTCGTCACGGTGAAAACTGCTAGGTATATAGGACGCGATTACGTACAGAGTGGTTTCGCAAACGGAGGGATGTGTTGATGGTCGTAAAATTCCACACTTCTTGTATATAGCTAGTAAGATCACATAAGACGCGGGACTTTGCGGAAATGATCCGGGCCGTAAAACTGCAGAAAGTAACTGCCGTAATTCTGTACAAGGTGGAATGACATGAAATTGCAGAGCTTAATTTACGCAATATTGCGGACGTTTGATATTTGTTGACAATAGTTCAAGTAAGAAGTATTTTATAAGTAGTTTTTGCTTCTATGCAAAAAAAGTGATGGGGGTTTGTTGGTTGCTTTTGGTTTTTTTAATACAAAACAATATATACTTTAGAATTTTGTTTTAGAATAACCTTATTTTTCAGCATAAAAATGTTATTTAATGAGCTCACTCGTTGAAAGCTGAATTTATTTAAAAATGACCATAATCCTACGTTTTGGATTGCATCATTCTTAGAGAAAATTATAAGATCTCAATTCGTTTAATTGGTTTTTTCCTGTTATCTCTTAGATTTGGGAGTCTTTGAAGTACTTCAGTAAAATTCTATCAGAAAATGAGTATTCTAGGAAACTGTTTCATGGTAGCCGAATACTGCTAAAACAAGCTATAGCAAAAAAATTGAATATGTGCCTAACTTAAACGTTATCAAAAATCCCCTTATCTCGCTGATTTAAGATTAGAATTTGATAAGAAATGCCACAAATGCTAAGTTCAAAAACTCTCAAATTTCACAGATTTCGGAAAGTTGGGACTTCACTTTTTCCAGCAAATATGATGACGAAAACTTGTACTCAACTTTTTTGCCTCTTTTTAAATAGCTGTAATACTGACCGTTAACTGAGGAGAGACTGGTAAAACTTGTTTCATTGCATCATCAAACGACATACCAGCATTTTGTGTGTATATGTTGTTGCCGATCGAAACAGATGTATCAGTAGTAAAAAACGGAATATTCGAGAGGTTTTTCAAAGTCTTGTTTCCTTAGCATTTTGCAAGCTCCGTACTTTTCTTGCAAGCAAACCCATCGTTGTTGAAATGGATATTGTACCAAAAGGTAAACATATGTTTTGTTTTTTGTTTTTTTATCGAGGTTTCACTCATGTTGTCACTGCCTAAATTTACTGACACGTATGTAAATTCTCCAAGAAAATCTTGCGCTCCAATGAATATTCGGGTGCCTAAGTACGATCTATTTTGATATTATCTTTTGCGCATCTTGGACGATATTCATGGTCGATCGCCTTTCGAATACACTAGGGTCAACAGTTACATTGGGTACATGATACAAGTAATTATTACTACAGCTGTCCGTATTCAAAGTCCTTACTTCATGGGAAATTGAAAAATTATATCTGATTCTTTTGCCTCTGTTGATCTAATTAGTAATGGTTATGTAAATGTGGAGTAAACACTGATTTGCTTATTCAAGTGAATATTAATGTGTAACTAACCTTGTAGAATGGCAAATTATATTTATATGGAAGAGTAAATCATACATACTAGTAAAACTAGGGCATTTCACAATCCTGAAGAGAACGTAAATCCTTGGCGAATCCCTTCAAATTCAAATTAGCGGAATAAGATATTCAGGCGTATCACCGTGACTACTTTCGCAAAAGCTGAATTATTTTTGAATTTGCTGTCAACTGACTAGGAAACTATTTATTTGAAGATTTATCGTAGGCGATCATCTCCGAAAGA